CCGTGTGACTTCTTCCTCTTCCGAAAGATGAAAATTCAGCTAAAGGGAAGGAGATTTGAGACGATAGAAGAGATTCAGGCAGAATCGCAGATGGTGCTTGACAGGCTGACAAAGAAAGATTTCCAGGGATGCTTCCAGGCTTGGCAGCGGCGCTGGGATCGTTGTGTTCACTCCCAGGGGAACTACTTCGAGGGTGATGGATGAATTTAATACCTGAGATAAGTGCACGGGTTTTTATAGGCGCAGTCTAGAAACTTTCCGATCGCACCTCGTATCTATACGGTATACAAGCGGACTACAGCGTTCTCTGTATTCCACAGACAAAGCAAATGTAAATAGAAACTAGGCATCTTCCGTCTCTCCAAGATCGCGCCAAAACGTTTGCAATGCGATGCTCCAAATCGCTGAAATTGAAAATAAATTCCGAGTTCTGCCTCGTAAAATTACATTTAGGGTACAATGAAAAATACCATGTTTTTGAAGAGTAGTATCATGTTTAAACGGGGAAATTTTTTCTGTCTCAAATACGGTAAATTCCTTCGAGTACGTGTGGCAACACTAGCTCCCGTCTATCCAGTAACCCGTACGGGTTTCTCCCCTTTACAACCCACGCATACAAACATCCTCTCGTCTCGTCGGCGCTACGTAACTTCACACTTGACAGAGCTTCAATTGTCTATGAATTAATACTTCGTACACTAATTAATGCACTTGCCACTAACGTCGCTCTTGAGTAGTTGCCACTCGTGTTTCGTATTCGGTAGATTCTGTCCTTGAACTCGGTGGTCGGCTGTTTTCATTGATTGGTACTATTATCCACAATCGCTTCGTTCCCAGTCCTTATGAACTTGCTAAAGCGTCTTAAAATAAACCTATAAATGAGAAATAAGGTCCGCCCAGTTGTCAGGCCTGTCAATTATACAAATTACTACCAACCTTCGTCCCGTTGCCTGCACACGACTGTATTTCTACGGATGAAAATAATTTGCGGGCGCTGTCTGGTGGTGATAGCTGCCATTAAAAATGCGAAATGAGTCCACGGTATATGATATTTTGGTCGTAGAAATTGACAGAAGCGAATCTGAGTATAGGGTTCCCATAAAGGACGGAAGGATTCGAGAAACGTTTATCTTATTAATCTTTCTGATCATCCGAAACGTAGACATGCCTTTGAATATCATACGAGGTGCGATCGGAAAGTTTCTAGACACCACCTATAAAAACCCGTACACTTATAGTTATGGGCGTTTTGGTAGTGCATTACACCGACCCTCCTGCGCTTTCGGAATGGCGTGTGCATCAAATTTTGCCAAAGACTCGCCAAAACGGCTACGGAAACCTATGAAATGCTAAAGCAAGCATTTGGGGAGTCCGCAATGGGTCGTGCACAAACTTTTGTGTGGCATTCACGTTTTAAAAATGGCCGAACCTCTGTCGATGATGACGAGCGTTCTGGACGACCATCTTCGAGCACAACGCCCGAAACTGTTACGAAGATCGACGTCGTACCATCAACGATTTGTGCGACATTGTTGGGATAGGCTATGGGACCTGTTAGCTGATTCTAAAGGAAGAACTCCACATGCGACGCATCCTGTCAGAGGACTAGAAGCAGAATCGACTTCTCGTTTGTCAGGAGCTTAAAGATCTTGCAAGAACCGACCCCAACTTCCTTTTTAAGCTCCGTGTGACTTCTTCCTCTTCCCAAAGATGAAAATTTAGCTAAAGGGAAGGAGATTTGAGACGATAGAAGAGATTCAGGCAGAATCGCAGATGGTGCTTGACAGGCTGACAAAGAAAGATTTCCAGGGATGCTTCCAGGCTTGGCAGCGGCGCTGGGATCGTTGTGTTCACTCCCAGGGGAACTACTTTGAGGGTGATGGATGAATTTAATACCTGAGATAAGTGTACGGGTTTTTATACGCGCAGTCTTGAAACTTTCCGATCGCACCTCGTAGAAGAATAAAACCTAAACCGATATCATTTCTCGTTATGGTAATATCTAGAGCTATTCTTTTAAAATATATTCTCCAGGATTTTTTCTTTCGTTACGAATGTATGCTACTGTACTGAGTAAGAAGATGATTACTAGGCGGAAGTCCTTAGGAAAGAAGACAACTCAAAGACTGATCTTATCAACTCCACTCGACCTGAGTTTCATATTATCCTCGCTAGGTACATTGTCCTCGTACGTTTAGCAAGCTTAGGATGGGATACCATACCCTGCCATGGCACGACACGATACACCATAGCATTCCACGTGAAAGCTCTTGGGACACTTTTTGACAGATTGGGACATGTTTGGACAAACTTGAGCAGTTTAACAGGTTAGGTAAGCCTAGACTTAGGTTTGGTTTGGTTCGGTTCGGTGTGGTCAGGTTACGTTATGTTTAGTTAGGAGAGATTAGGTGAGGTTAGGTTGGGTTAGGTAAGATTAGGTTAGGTTAGGTTTGGTTTGGTTTGGTTCGGTTAGGTAAGGTTAGGTAAGATTAGGTTAGGTTAGGTTTGATATGGTATGGTTTTTTCATTCGTTTGGTTAGGATACATTTGTTTTTGTTGGGTTAGGTTAGGCCAGGTAAGGTTGGTTTATTTTATGTTGTGGGGTTAGGTTTGTTTTGGTCTTGTTTGGTGTCGTTATCTTAAGGAATTTCATCGTATCGACGTTCGGCGTCATTTTTCTAACGTCGTCTAGATTGGTATTTCGAGTGTCACCTGCACTAAACGTGGCCTCACGTTCTCACCTATGATTTGCCAAACGGCTGTCGTGCACCGAGCTTCAGCTGATGGAAGCTTCACCACAATTACTCCCTCTCCGTAATTGAAACTTTAAAAGCAACTTGCATAGTCTGTTTTAATTAAAAGGAAAAGCTCCCAGCCTCTCAATCTGGCCAGCATTCCACCTCGGCTGTTGTAAAACACTTTATGGCTTCGTGCATTATTAAGGTGTGTTGCCGTCTCCACAAAAGCCTGCAGCCCAGTTAAAATTCCAACAACTAATTCTATTAAGTTCCATTTTATTACTGTCCTTTTACTGATGTTTTGGAGCTTCAATTTCTCTCTATTTGTGACTTTTCACAACAGAATGATACGTATTTATTGAGCCCTGGAGTTCCATGACGGGTGTACTCGTAATTGCACGCCGTTCCTATGTGTGTTGGTTGTGTCCACAGACCCATGCCTTGTGAAGTATTGTGGTAAAGGCCGGGAATGTCAGTTGAGTCGCGGGCTGGCAGAGTGCGTCTGCCAGCGGCGATGCAAAAGACACCAGAAGCTCGTCTGCGGGACGGACGGTCAGCTGTACGCAAACCACTGCGAACTGCATCGCACTGCGTGCCTGGAGGAACGAACCATTGCCGTGGACCACGCGTACGAATGCATGAAGCAGGGACCCCAACCCGGTGAGTAAATAACTCATCAGCACCTACGAAGATTGTAGGAGCCGAATAATATCTCGCAGGGTCAACCATTTGTCAGTAATGCGAATTGTCTCTATAATGGCAGTTCTATAAACATGCCTCACGCTTTCCCAGTGTTTGTCAGTGAAAAGAAAAATACACAAACGCGGCAGAGTTGATTCATCGCTGGTGTTGCGTCATTCACAGGTGTGCTGCTTTCTGAAAGATGTCACTGTAATTATGGTGAGTGAATCTGTGCAGTTACTTCCGAAATAATCCTACCGTTTGTGAATGGCTTTCAGAGAATAGTGTGACAGTATTTGAACTGGGTTAATGTAGCTTCGAACAGGGACTGTTAAAAGTTTGTTTCGTGGCTATTGGTAAATATTTTATGCATGACAGAATGTAATGGTCTAGTGACGAAACATCACCTCATCTGATCTTGTCATTAATGGATTCAGTAGTTGCAACAGATGCTCTGAGCTTGTGAAATGAAAAAAAGAAAATTTAATTTTATGTAAATGATGGATGAATCGTGGCGTTGTTAATTTCAGACAAATCAGAAGACCCCAGTGTTCTAGAGGTGACGTCATTGTCTGCTGTACCCACTGCCGTCCATAATGAAACGCTTACACCCCTGCCGTATAACCCGGAGGAAAACGAGGCGGAACCGGAAACTGACATTTACTACGATAAGGACGATTGTACCATCCAAGAGTACGAGATAATGAAGGTTCGACTCGGAACAACGAAGTTTCACATTTCAGGATTTAGTATCGAAATCTACTTTTATTTGTGAAATGTAACCTCTATGATACGACTGTATAATTCTCATGTATTAAGTAAGAATGACGAGGTCGTAACACGCATGAGGAAATAAAAAAAAATCCACTAAAATTCCTCTCTTGGAAACCCCAGCTGTAGGAGACTAGAAATGAAAAGAAGGATATTGTTAAATATATGTGAGGTTATGTGTGTTTGTGTGTGTGTGGTGGAGATGTATGCCAGATTTAACTGTCCCAATTTATGGCTTGGCTGCAATTTATGTGATCACAGTGGCTGGAAATTTCTTTACAAGCCTCACAGTCGGTCAGTTTGTTGTCAGGTTTCTTCCTGATCCATTGGAAACTACATTGGTGCCCTCATTGCAAGCATTCTTAAGCTCAGCAGTAGTTGTCCAATTCACTTTGCTCTTGATTTGCTGCTGCAGGACAATTTGCTCCTGTACAATCATGCCAAGCTGATGGCGGAGGACAACCACAGCTCAGGGAAGGAGTACTTGGTGAGCATCATGTTCAGTCACTATGACCAGAACAACAATGGGGCACTGGAGAGAGAGGAGCTGGAACAGGTATGTTTCCAGACTGCTGTGTGACTGCCTGTCTTCATGTTTCATCTTCAAAAAACTACTAAATGGATTTAAATGCATTTACTGTTTGGGGAATCTTCACTATAAAATTGCAAGTGAACTTTATTTTGGTCTAATATAATATTTATTGACTCCACGATTTTAAGAGGCTACACTTTATTTACCAAGAAATATACTAAACACATTGAAACATAGGAATTATATACATCCTCAATCATACAGCACTGCTCCTATGTAATATAGGTGTTCTCAGTATGAAGTTAGTGTGCAGAAAGTACTTAGATGAATGCACATCTGAGATTGACTCACAGACAAAACCATCAGAGTGGTGCAACAGATTTCACAACACTGGTGGTCTTTTGCACACTGACTCACCGGGAACTTCTGAAGCAGAAGTTGAACACATAGAACATTCTTTTATGTGCAGCCTGAAGAGGTCTGTGAGAAATTTCAACTGAGAAATGCAAATAAATAAGTCAGCTGTGCGCACAGTTTTGTGTGAAAGGATACATTTACATGCAGACAAACTGCTGCTATTTCAGAGTATTACAGAGGAAGACAAAGTGATATGCTTCTGTTTCGCTACTTGTGTTCGGTATCAGCTAGCAGAGAATGAAGATTACCTTGCAGCTGTTCTTTTCACTGATGAAGCCACTTTCTGCACCAGTGGTGTGATAAACAGGCACAGTTGCCACATATAGTGAGAATCCAAGAGAAATCGTCTTTCATGCTCGTGACTTGGCAGAAATCAATATACTTTTTTTCTTCTGAGGACGCTGTTAATGCTACCACATGCCTTCTCGCAAGTATAGCAAGAACGAGTTGCGGTGTTTGAACAAGACAGTGCCCATTCTCATAATTGTAACGCATTTGTGATATAACTTGTGGCTGGATTGTGTGAGAATGCCCAGTCCCTTGACTTTGATTCCTCTTAGTTTCTTCTTTTGAGGTTATGTTAGGAATGTCATCTGTTGATCTGCACATCACTCACAGATGTTGATATTTGTGTGTGATGAAACTGAGTGCAGATGTATATCTGCTATGCCACTATGGAAACCCACGTAGAAATTGACTAACACAAATTCTATAAGATAAGCTTAATTTCGGTGTCTAATGTTGCTCAGTATCTGTATTGTTTTGTAAACTGTAACCTCAAAAAATCTCTGGGTTGCCGACTGGGTGTACTATATAGCAAATTAAATATTTAAGTTTAGTAATGATAGTACAGTGTAATATTTATACTGTTAATTAATTGTTAAAAATAAAGAGTAAATGAGCTTCAAGACCAGTGTAAAATCATACAGAATATATAAGAAAGTGTCTGCGGGGTGAGTACCTTCAAATAAGCTACAAACCTTATATATTTTAAGTATGTCATTCATTCTGTCTCGCATTTATGCTGTGTAACGTGCGCAGTGAAGAAAGTGTCTTTAGTAAGGCAAAGAACAGAGTTTGGCTCTCAGTGTGGTAGTGACAAACCTTGAGGTCCCGATTTCACTTTCTTGCACGCCGCTGTTCGCAGATTGCTGGTCGGGAACATCTGAACCAGCTGGCCAAAGGCTGCAGTCTTGGCCACATGCTTTCTTTTGATGATACCGACAAAGATGGCCGCCTCAACATAAATGAGTTTTATATGGCGTTTAGTAAGTTATACAGTAAGTTGCTTCACCTGCTTAAGCTGCTTGGTTTTAACTTAGCATAATTACTGGAGCTTCCGTCAGGTAGGTCCAGTGAGATCCTGCTTTTTTATGTAATGGTCGACTCTTGCGCCCCAAAACATGAAGTCCTCTGATCAAGTAAGGCTTTGATTGAGGTTTTCGAAACATCTTCCTTTTTACGGTGCAATGTTGTTAGCCTTGCGACCAACCCCGAACCTGGAGGACCAGGGTACCTGTCTTAGTCTGACCTCTCCCCCTCGACCAATCTGGCTAGGGAGGCCCTACCAGTAGCTCTTGGGTCACTGAGGTTCTCGAGCCCCACCACCACGACAAGGTGCAGGTACCATTAAGTGGGGCAGATTTTCTTTTCTGCCTGTAATTATAAATGCAGGAAATAACTGCCATCATTAAGATACATTAGCATTATAGCTGAGTATAACCTAAAGTATTCTCATATTGCCACACTTGTAATCGTTGACTTACAAACAGTAATTCATGTAATTTACAGGTGAATTTAGTATCTGTATGCATTATGGAATTTATATGTCTAGCTCCAATGGTTCATTAATTATTCTGTTAAAATAAAAGTAAAGATGTTGTGCACATAGAAGAAACAAGAAATTTATTCACATTTTTTGTTGGGAAACCTCACAGGTACAGACCACCTGGAAGATTAAGATTAGATCACATGATAATAGTAAAATGAAATTTAGAGAATTGAGGATATGACCTAAATTGAATTATCTCAGAACAAGGTCTCAAGACAACTTTTTGTGGTAGTGATGACTAACCTTAAAGATTTACTAATGAAGAGAACTTAATCAGTTGATAAAATAACCAATGCTTAAGGAGAAGGTTGCTTGATTTGTTATTGAAATTGAACACTGATGAAAATTATCCTTTGGGATGATAATCAGGACTTATTTAATTTGTAAATGAAAAGTGCACAAGTGTTGGACCTGCATGAGTCTGACTGCTTTCTGGTTGCTATTGTTCCGAGTATCTGGTTCTTGTAGGTGCTGAGCTTTAAACATATCCTGAGTGTGATTATGAAAGGTTTTAATGTGTACTTATATTACTCTTTGCCATAAGATATAGAAATTATTCAGTGAATAATTTTCATTACTCATGAGAAGCAGTAAGAGGTTTTATGAACCGATTTGCTCATATTTGTCTGCCCCCACCACTTCGCTCACACCAGTGAACAATATGCTTATTTTTAGATTAACGTATTTTCCATTTGTGAATGTTTTTAAGGGTTGAAACTTTCTTTGTGCGAAAGAAATGCATCAAGATTGTGGTATGACTGATTTTGTCATGGGCAGGTTATCAGCTCCAATCATAGATACGGTTGTACATTCACAGGCGTGTCAGTGGTGTCGCTAGACAAGGCCCTGGAGGTAAATCACCTATCAGCACGTGTTGGAGACAATGTTGAGATCAAGTGCGACGTGACTGGGACGCCGCCGCCTCCCATCGTGTGGCGACGCAACGAGGCTGATCTGGCAGCTCTCAATGAAGATGAGGTGCGGGTGTTCAATGACGGATCCTTGTACTTGACCCGAATCCAGCTGATTCATGCTGGAAACTACACGTGCCACGCGCAGCGTAACAAGGATGTTGTACAGACACATGTGCTTACAGTGCATAGTAAGTGTTACTCAGTTGTAAAATGTGGAGACCCATCCGTCCATATATATCGTATCAATAGCTTTCTTAGAAATGTAAATGAAATTTTATGCTTAGCTTGTACATTTTGATTCTGGTGTTGTGGATTGTTATGCGTGCATGTATACCAACGTGCAAAGCTAGAATTGTAATTATTTTTATAGTGTATTACATTACTGTTACAAATTCCAATTCAAATATTTCTGTTTGTTTGGAAATTTCAATAAAATCAAAAACAGTTTTATTTTATATTCATTTTTTCAACAGATGTTTGTGTGCAAGGAATTCAAATTAATCCAGTTAAAAAAATTAAATAAATAGATGTAAAAAAAATCTTGGGACACAAAGGATTGATGATATCAAAAGGAGGGAGGGGGTCATCTTGTCAGTAATTTTGGGAATCTCTTCTTCAGATAGATTCTAGTTCATGTTGTTCACTCATGATAAGAACCATGTTTTGCAGCATAACAAAATGAGAAAAAATTTGTTTGTATTTTAGTATTCATGAATATAGATCGGATGATAATGGTTTCAATCAGAATAAGAGCAGGTGCGTTCATATTTTGTTATTCCCACACAGAATTAATGTACTGCAAATGAGTAGATGGAGGACATCATTGTTTTCTACTCAGGAAGAAAGAAACTGAGGGAACAACCTCAGTAAATTTGTCTTTGGTAATCATCTGCATTAACGCAGAATGAAGTGGCATATCACCCACAACTGTGTTGTGTTTAGTCACAGTAAACTTCAGATTTTATGTGTTCACACAAATGTAAAGCAGGAAATTTGTTTTCAGCCATTCCGGAAGTAAAAGTGACTCCACGGATTCAGTCTCAGCGACCAGGCAAAGAAGCATCAATGTTCTGTCATGTGATTGGAGAACCTTTTCCCAAAGTAAGTCTCGGCATTTTGATATCTGGGCCAGTTTTTGAAATTTGTGCAATAAAATACAAGTTCTCTACTTTGACAACTAAAAACCTCATCATGTTTTATTTCCAATAGTGTAAATTCTTGTTCCTCATGAACATGTGCATAATAGCAATATAGAAATTATAAAGCAAACATAAAACAATAACATAATTGAAGAGAAACTCAGGAACTTTAATCTGGTGTCCAAGTAATATTCAGAGAGCTTGGGAGCTTTTAAAGGTGAATTTTAAAATACTTTGTTTATGTGTCATTCCCTGTCTCAAGAACAAAAGTCTGTTAAATGGTACAGCAGACTGCTGAAGTTCTGTTTCTTACCAAGAACATTAAGTTTGGTAAAGGCGTTGCTACAAATTAGTTTATATTTTTGTTGTAGTGAACACTGGAAAACTATCAGATTCCAGGATGTATATTTTAGGAAACAATGAAGTTATTATGGTTATGGCTTGTACAGCATGCCCTGTGACTGTGGTAAAGTTTAAATAGGGCAGACTGGCCATTCTTCTTCTTCTTCTTTGGCTCTCCGGTCCATATTCGGTCCATGGCTTCCTCAATTCTCCTCTTCCATTCGGTCCTCTGTTAGGTCCGTCTGTCCGTGGCTTTGATTGAGGTTTCGAAACATCTTCCTTTTTACGGTGCAAGGTTGTTAGCCTTGCGACCAACCCCCAACCTGGAGGACCAGGGTACCTGTCTTAGTCTGACCTCTCCCCCTCGACCAATCTGGCTAGGGAGGCCCTACCAGTAGCTCTTGGGGTCACTGAGGTACTCGAGCCCCACCACCACGACAAGGTGCAGGTACCATTAAGTGGGGATGAAGAGTAGACTGTGTGGGTACTGTGGTGATGGATTTTTGAGAGGGCTGGAATATTGTAGGACTGATCAGTTTTTTATGTCCTTAATCTCAGCATATTTACTTGGTGGATGTTATAATATTACATAAGCTGTTTCTTTGTTAATACCTGAATGTTTCATGTAGGTGGAGTGGCTGAAGAATGACGAGCCACTCAAACTGGATGTGCCACACAAGTACAAGATCATCGGCAACGGCACGGAGCTGCAGCTGCACAAGATAGCGTACGCTGACACGGGCGCTTATATGTGCCAGGCAACCAGCGTCGGTGGCATGACTCGTGACATCTCGTCACTGGTGGTGCAAGAGGACCCTACCCCCAGTGAGTGAACAGTTCATGAACACTCTTTTTATGTTAGTTATGAAAGTTTCTCACTGAGGTAATAGAAAGGAAATCTGTGAAATATGTTTGCAGCATTACAGCGTACTTTCCAAACCTTTAAATACAGAGGTACTTGTGCAGGGTTGCTCCTACACAGGTTCAATCTAACAGATCACTGATAATTCTTTCACCGAAGTACTCTCTGTGCGTGATGTGATTACTAAAATAAATGCAATACAAATATGATTTATTGTTTTTTATATGTAAAAAATTAACATTTTGCACTTTCACTTATATTTGTATGCATCATATGGGTGCATAAGCAAAATTATGATTTAGGATTTTGTTTACTTTCTGATCCAGATATGTATATTAAACAGATTGCAAAGAAAAATTTTACTTTGACATAAAATCACAAAAAAATATGTGTTCTTAAATCACTTTTTCTTTCTTACCTTTTTTGTGGCAGTTTATTTTATTCAGATATTCCACATTTATATCCGAAAGAATTGTCTCAGCTGTAAAATATGAAAAAGAGAAACTTTATCTTTCTGGTACCCACTGTCTCTAAATCTTATCTTCACACAGTATAGCATAGTATTCTCTCTAGAACGATAGAATGCCATGTGTTTGCATTCTCTTTGTACAGACAGACAGACAGAAAGAAGAATCTGTTATTATGTAAAACAGGTGGATAGTGTAGGATATTTCTGTTCATGGGACATGCATTCCATTTGAAATACAATTGGACAAGAAAGTTTATTTTACAGGTTATTCTCTTTTAAGTTGCTATTATACTTCAAAGTACTCCCACAATACCGATTTCGTCAACACCATGGTCCTCGAGAAGACAACAAGATATATATGGACCTCAAAATAAAAGAGGCGGTCGAGATCAAGCTCCACCGAAGCAACTTCAACAGAGAAGGAGGGTTCATGCTTGTGCGATCATGGGACCTGGTAATCAACTTACTCCGGCAGCATAGAGTTCCAGCGGTAGAAAGGCAACACCCCAGCACGCCGCACATTCCAACTCCCCCACCAAATGCCGCGCGGAGACCTGCATGAGTCCTGGACATTTAAAACAGTTCGCGCTACGAGTATTTATGGTAATGGGTCTGAAAATGAAGCTCTAAGCTCTAGCTCTATGATGGATTTTTGCTGTTGTAGCTGCACCCAATGAGGAGCGACGCTTCTTCTCTTTCCATGACTGGGGCGTGTCTGTGTATGAACCCATGGCTTGCAGACTGTACCACCAGATACAGGCTACAGACATTATTCCTGGCACCCAGGTGAATAATATTAATATTGCTGATGCTACTGCTGTTAATTTTACCATTCAAAATATGTTTGTGCCTGTGAATTAAGTACCTTAGTCGTATGGTGAAATATGACACATTTTAACTGAAGTAACGTTTTGCAATCTCTTTATTTAATGTCATCCAGAAGTTCTGTTTGGTTGCATGGTAGCTTCTATGAATAGACATTAGTTTTGTTATTGTTATTATTGTTGTCGTTCTTGTGAGTTGATTACAGAATTAGCTTCTGGCAAATTTATTAACCCTTATCTGATCCTGAAAGAATTTGTATGTCACCCAAATTTGCTGTTGCTCATTGATGTTGGTCAATATTATCAGTTTAACCTTACATTCCCATACAAGGTAGATTTTCTTGTGTGGCTAAGCAGAACGTCATTAACACAACGACTTTTCTAAAATGTTGCCAGTTTTCATTTAACTTCGTGGAGTTTGAACTTGTGTGTAAGATATTAGTAAATAATTAATTAAGTTCATCTGTTTGCACAACAAATAAAGATATGTTATTATATTTATTCAATAATTACAGTTATTTCAATGAATCATAATCTCCTTAGGCTATTATTATATGTTTAATAAGCGTATTACAACATAATTAATAATTGAGATTTATTGGATATGATACAGTGGTTAATGTCCTTTGCTGATTGGGCAAGATCACATGTCATAGCATTCCCAGTGCATCTACAACATTGGAAGAGCAGTGGTGCCTCGTATGGCAGGCAGGCATTACCTTGAAGATTTCTGTCTTCTGGGTTGTTGCATCATGTGGTCTGGTCGATGTTTACCAACGTTTCAGAGGTCAAACTGCCTCCGTCATCAGGGCGATGAATATTCATTGCCCTGATGACGAAGGCAGTATGACCTCTGAAACGTTGGTTAACATTGACCAGACTACATGACGCAACAACCCAGAAGACAGAAATCTTCATACTCCCTGCTGTGGAAACCTCAAATCTTACATAGGCATTACCTTGTTTATTTTTATAATCTTAGCATAAGATGAAACCTAGTTGTAGATGCAAGAATTGCTTTTGGTGTTAACGTAGTTGTGCTGTATCATAGGAATATGTCTGTGGAGACAAGGGAGTGAACTGCAGCTGGGGACACGCTATCAATGTTGCCAACCGTTACGTGTATGTGGCTCAGCCCCATAAGGACCGAGTGCTGGTCATCAGCAAAATCCAGATGGTAGTTGTGGATGTGAGTATCATTATGTTACCCATAAGTCAAATCTCCCTACTACCACCAAGATCTGCACCGGCGGCAGCTGCAGGCACTTTTTCATCTGTGATACTGAGGATGAGAGTACACAGGTGCAGTTATACATCCCACAACTGCCTCTAAAAGTATACATTGTGGTGGTAGTAGCTACAGGTGAGAGAAAACTTATTGTAAAGGCCATGCATATTATTTTTATCTTTAAAGTACTAATTTATTTATGTAACTGTTCATATATCTACCAATGTAACTAGCAATTTGGCAGCGGAACTCAAAGGTTCAATATTGCCAATATCGAAGCCTACCATTGGTCATGATCCTGAGGCAATCACAACCAAATCCGATGCTCACAATGTATTTCCCTGAAATTCATCCTACTAGTTAACTAACTTTGTTGTAGAAGAATTCTCAGGTGCTACATTACTAATTATAAAGATACTTTCTAAACACGATCGTTGCTTATTTGATTCATTCCCGATACTCACAGCATATTTCCCTAAGATCCGTCTTAATGTTTCCCACATCTTCTGCTTGGATTAACAAGAGATTTATTTATGAAAACTCTGTTTGCATTCCTTGTTTCTTTTCTACTTGTTACATGCTTAGCCCATCACTTATTTACTTCTTTGCCATTGTGAATTTATTTGGTATGCACAAATTTCTTTTAAAGTGCATCTTTATTTCCATTTTAGTGATTATAAAAGTACATACTCAGTACTGGTAAAATAAGTTACTTTTGGCAATATCTCAGATAATTGTATTAAATTATATTAGAAACAGGTAATGGAAAACCCCTGTAAATGTTCTAAACAAAGAATTTGTAATGTTTGGACTTTTGTTGACATGCGTAGGTTGTAGTGACAGACAAGTACCCCGTGGAACTGCACTATGTCCCACACCTTGACCAGGTGTGGGTTCTGAACTGGCGCAGCGAGCATAACCAGGGCATCAAGACGATCCAGATCATTCGGGATGCAGCCCAGAAGAGAAAGCATCACACAGTGCATCCTGAGCCCATTGATGGGCAATTTGACCTTGTGCAGGGCCTGTTCATGCCTCCTATACAGGTATCATCAAATGCGTGCATCTCAGGCCCATACTAAAAAAAATAATTGATCATGTGGGACAATAAAATTTTGTATGAAATTATACTATCTTGACTCCTTCACATTTGATAAGGTCTTGGGTTTGATTCTCAGTCTGGAGATCATTTATAACAACTTAGATTTCTGCGCTTTTCCGCAGTCCCTCCAAACAAGTGCTGGGATATTACCATTTATAGGCCATATTTACTGGCTTCCACGACCATCCAAATTCATCATGTAAAATTACAACATGGTGGCTGCCTGGGAAAGAAAATAAAAGTGTAGATATGACAAGGATTTGATCGTGCAACCCGATGTTTACAAGTCACGTACACTGCCACAGAGCTAATGTATGATTCTGAGTAAGAATGGAAAGGTGTAATCCATACCAAAATACATACAAATTATGAGTTTTTAATAAAATATTGCTGGCCGCAGTGGCCAAGCGGTCTGAGGCATTGATCTCATGCGCCTGGCCGCTAGGACCTTGGGTTCGAGTCCCACTCAAGGCAAGGGTGTTTGTCCGCGTACTTTCTCTTCCAGTCTGATGGATAAAGACTGGCCACTGAGGGTAAGGCAAAACCACCGTGCTATCTTCACAAGGAAAACCCCTGTAAAGGGAGGGGGGGGGGGGGCCAACCAATCCTAGGATTCATATGGTGTTAATGTGTTCTTTAATTAATATTAATCACAACCAGTATGTAGTAATGCATGTAGCCATTCTACTGAATATAATGTGTATGGTTAAAAAGGCAAGACCACTATGTACTGAAGACTACGTAACCTTCATACTTCTTAATGCCAGTACTAACCTGGTGACCCAGCCTACAATTTATCAGTATGGAAAGCCCATGTAAAGTTTGGCCTTAAATCAAATATTGATATGTACTGTTACTAAGTTTCACTGTACAGGATATGACACACATGTTCAAGTATGGGTATGTGACTCACACAAACCAGCGAGGGCTGTACAAACTTGACTTGGCCAACATGCGCTACACCAGAAGTATTGACCTGACACCATTCAACTGCGTACCACGACAGATACAGTTCTCTGCTCTGTGTAAGTAGGCAGAGTACATTGCGAGAAATTGCTGTTTAACTCTGAAGACGCTACAACAGGAAAGTGTAATAATATCTGATATCATATTCATGCAGATATTAAGTATTAAAAGTTGAGAAATTTCATAATATTTTTACTTTAGAAGAAACTGAAATATTATCCTTTAATGGTCTTGACACTGATCTGTGCGGCCGGGTACACCACACGTTTCCTGTTGTACCACTCATGACTTCACTAGGTGCTTGCAATAGGTTTTGAGTTTTCTTTTGCTACATTTTAAGCTCTTATTTCTAACTATTTGGTAACGGATACTACTTAATAAAAAAGCTTCTCATTATGCAGCCAGAATTGTTGTATTATATGTGTCTTTTGCCTAGTACATGAACACTATGTTTACATTATCATATATGGATCAGTCAGTTTTGTGAATGTACATTTTGTCGAAGCTTCTGAAGTTCTAAGGATATTGTGATGTTTGAAGGCAGTTGTGTCAAATACTTCTTGTCTGCTGTCTATATTTAGCGTATAACAGATATGGCTGTTCTGCAGATGGATTTGTGATTATGGAGTGCGAGGAGCCCGTCACAGGTCGACCAACAGGGCAAATTTTGCTGGACTATCTGACAGACACAGTGCTCACTCAGAAGACCGGGCTGTTTGGTCACCCTCACGTGTCCCCCAACAGTCGCTCAGTTGTAACATTGGACAGAGGTCATGATGGAGTCACACTTGTGGTGCAGGAAGTTACTGGTCAGTTACAATTCCGAATTAGTCCTTATTAACCCCTGGTGTCCGACTATCAAGCTGGCTCGTGAGCACGGCCTCCAACATAATTTTTTCATGGATGGTCACTGAAGAAGACTTAATTTTATTCAGTCACTGTAAAAACTTCAAATCTTAACACTTGCAGTTCCTTCAAGATCTTGTGAACTCTGCAGTAGGTATGTGGGAATGAGTCCGAAGAAAGAACAAAGATGTGATGATGATGATAATAGTTTATACCTCAGGGAGTGAGGTGGGAATAGGCTGCTGAAACTTACAGAATGTTTTATAATTTGAAATCATACATGTTTTGAGTGGTTAGCACTCCTAGCTTGTATTTGGTAGGTCTGGGCAAGGAGTCCTGGAGACTAATTCTCCTGACTGAGATTTTTCATGATTTTCTTCATTTTCTCCAGACAAAGGCTGGGATAGTCCTTTAAATTCAGCCATGACTGCTTCCTTCTATATCCCTCCCAGTCCTTCAATCATCCTGTCATTCAGTGCTATAAACAGTAATCTGAGCCATTGACAGTATTGTTAAGTAAATCATAACTAACTAACTAACTAGATGGCTTACCGAACCCGAAGGTTCATCACCGAATTAACCAAAGCCCTCCCCCGGACCCTGTCCTGGGCCAACAAAATCTAGTTTCCTTCGACTCCTATCTCCCATAGATCCCACCTGAGATTATCCTCCCATCTACGTCTAGGTCTCCCCAGCGGTCTCTTCCCTTCAGGTTTCCCAACCAGTACCCGGTTCACACTTCTTGTCCCATCCATGCGCTCCACATGCCCCGCCCATCTCATTCTTCCTGACTTAATTACCCTTGAGTACAAATTTTTAAGTTCGTCATCATGCAGTTTTCTCCACGCCCCATCGTCTTCCCTCTTAGGCCCAAATATCCTCCTCAACACCCTGTTCTCAAACACCTGCAATCTGTGTTCCTCCCTCAGAGTGAGAGACCATGTTTCGCACCCATACAAAAGAACAGGCAAAATTATTGTTTTGTATACTTTAATTTTCATGGTTCTTAGAAATCAGACGGGAAGACAAAATATTTTGAACTGAAGTAAATCATAAATAAATAAAAAAAATATAAATTGTGTGCTTTTTCCCGCCATTGTTTTTACTACTTTATCTGACATGTTACTGTGTGATTTAGACTAATATTTCACGTGTCATTTGATTTTGCCTCCGGTTTTGTGATGACGTAAAGTGATTCAGATTCAGTGGCCAACCCATAATGTGAAATCTACTTTGAAATACCTGGCAGTAAAGGTAAGGCAAAGATTTCCTTGTGCCTGAGGACAAAACTGTGAGGGAATATAGGATATGAGGGGAGCGTCATATATCGTAGATGTTTCCAGTTGATGGAGAGTGAATGATGTGCTCAGATTATTAACTTGGTCCAAGAATCTGTTTATAGTTTCATATGACGATGTGTTTTTCTTTATATGGCCAAGAATATGATGATCTATTTGTTCTGTTTGTAGAAAGTGGTCTGAAGTTCTTATTTGATGTGAAGACGACATTGAACATCAGTGATATCACGTTCTATCCCTCACAAACCACACATGGCTATGACCTGTATGCCAGTGCAACAGATAAGGAAGACATCTTGTTTCTCAATCTGGTGACAGGTAGGCATATACGTACACAGCCAGTGTAGAGGGACAGTTACTCAGCGGTACCTTTCCTTCTCCGCTAATCATCCATGACGTTACTAATATCTGCTTTCATCATATACTTCGTTCATGATGACTATAGAATGAATATAAATACGTATCAAACAGATAGTGACAAAACTAGCCACAAGATATGAAGTTTCCTAAAGCACAGTTCATGTTATCTGTTTGTTACAGCGGAACAACGGGCAGTCAGACAAGAAAATTAATCTGTGTTAAATCGACAAATTTTCTACGAAGGTTTCAAGTGAAAATTTTGGATATTATAATCATGTTCATTAGTGGAAGTCCATCAAGTACTATAGCACTAATGCTAAACAGTTCCGAGGGGTGATAAGTAGAATGAATGTGTGTGTTATAAGCGGCAGACTGCAAATTGTTTTAACATTTTAAGTTTTGCGACTGGGGTCCATAGTGGCCGCGCGGTCTGAGGCGTGGGTTTTGTGCCGATTGGTCGCAGGGACCGTGGGTTCGAATCCCACTCAAGCCATGGTTTTTCTGTGTTGTGCTTAGACCGCGTGGCCACTGCGGACCCTTATAAACATATATAAACATCATGTGACGTGGTGCATTTGGCATTGCATGAAATCTGTATTTTAGTTTAGGTTCCTTTTGTTTTCTTTGGTGTATTGTGGTGATGAATAATCATTGCACTTTCTTCCGTCAAGAGATGCTTTCACTGTTTTTCTGCAGGGAAAGTTGAGATGATCACAGGTGTGGGCAAAGCCATGCCCCCTACCCTCGCTCAGTGGGACACACCGAACCGACCCATTGCAGCCTCTGGAGTGTTCGGACACTATATGGTCACACCAGCCAATGAAGCCCTGTTTGTAGTCAATGGGGAGACGCGAACAGTGAATTGCGAAATTGGTGGGCTCGTTCATCCAAGGACTGTTGTCTGGGTGACGATGCAGCTCCAGTGAACAAAAGTGACCTAAGTAAAAAAATACTATATCAAACAGCCTTTTTTTGTTATTTTACACTGGTGAACACATGTGATTTAGCGTATTGAATTACACAGACTTCACTCATCATGTGGAATTGTGATGTACTGAGGAAGATGTAGAACATGGGCCCAGATGCTGAAATGAGAAGCAACATTATTGATTAATGCTTAGTTTTGATCTGCTTTTTTTAATTCCTACTTTTGTCTCTCTTTTTAACAGTAAGAAAGGAATGTGAAATCCATATTTATTATTCCATTTGATAGTGATCAGTACTGCATGTAGACATTTAAAATTTGATATTGAAGTAGGTCGTAAACATACCTACTACATATTTTGTATATAGCAGTTTTTCTATATTAAAAAAAAAAGAAACAAATATAGTGACAATGTGAAACTTTTAGGTTACATCTGTCAGTCTGTACTATTAAAAATTAAGAAATATGCAAATTTCTAGCCATCCGATACAGACAAAAACACACTTATTAGTTCTGCACACAAATTATTTTATTTACTTTAGGTAATAATAAAATAGTAAATGTTGATGGCTTGTGTAGTGCTGAATGAAATGTCATGGTGATTTGGAGGAAGAAGTGGTTGTGGCCTGTTTCAACATTAGTCAGTGTGCCTTTCTGGGGAATCTATCGAGTACAAATCAGGCATATAACCACTGGTCTAACCAGCTTAGGAGTGGGACTGCTATGTGCTCTCATTACAAGTGTTAGCGGCTGGATCATAAACTAAGCAGACATCTTTGTGTCCTCTGAACTTACACAGGACTGTAAAGAACTGAATAATTGCCAAGGTAGTGTGTCTTGTTGTCCGGTCCAGTGTTTCGACGTGCACATCATGTGGCCCATGTTCAACATTCTTGGGTTAACCTTTATCATACAGGAATAATACTGTGGGCCAGTCAGCCAGACTGAACTCCGTAGTTAACAGTTCGGCAGCGTGCTACTGCAATGCGCGGCCAATTTGGACTGTGCGAAATATGCGACGCACGGCCGATAAAGGTTAAAAAGCTTCTCAGATATGTTAGTCCAAATTTACATGAATAAGATAAACAAGAAAGGGCATTCAGACAGGTTTATGTTAATTTATCTTCTTTATCTATACAAGTAAGATCACAAATGTTACTGTTGTCTGTGAATCGTCCTGTTTTGGATTACTTAAAAGTGATCGTATGCTGATGTTAGGTGCACGTTTAACCCATTCTCATTCTCTTGACTGTGTCCCCGACAACCAAAATCATGCTCGTATGCACTGTTTTCCATAAAGAGTTTATGGAACGTATGGTGACTGACACTGTGACTTGGGCAGTCATCCTGTGCTGTGGTGGACTGGGTTGTCATTGTTTTAAAGGAACTGACAGTCTCCATCTTCAGGGAACAGTGAATGGGTAGAACAAAGGATGGCCCAACACATTAAAAATACAGTGTAGCAGGTACTTTGCCAAAGAATTGCTCAGATAATTTCTCAAAAACATCAGCAAATAGCCCGAGTTAATTCTCATGGTCTGGTACCAAAAACATGAGAACTGGGTCTGATGTCACTCATTTAGCATTGAAACTGGTGACTAAGTGACTCAACTTACCACATCATGGTGGTTTTGTCACCTTAAAGTGGTAACACAGGTTTCAGTGTTTGACAATATTTTTAAATTGTTACAATGAAAAATTATTTTTGAAAAGTAAATTATGCTATGATTGCATTTACTTTGTGTTAGGGATTTGTTGCGTTTCCTCTGTACATGAAATAGATTTTTCTCGTTTATTTGCATCAGACTGTACGGTGAGATGTTAAACAAAATTTTACTTCAGAACTTGGTAAATACTGCCATCTTGTCAAGGAGCAATTTGTGAATGGGTTAAAATAAGAAGAGTGCTGGTGGAACATTGAAGCCTTGAAAATAGCTAAAAGACTTGCAGAATGGTTTGAGTTCTCTGTCTGCATTTCTTCACTGTTAGTATGAACAAAAACTGTTTGTTGCAACAAAATCTAACATTGAAACTTCTCCAAAATTTGATGGCACCACCATGTAGTTCTCATCTCTTAGGTGTGTGTCACAAAACAGAAACACTATAAGACAAGAGAAAAAACAGAAGTTTCATATTTGTTAATATCTTCATTATGTTTATGCCATATGATCTGCGGAGGTCTTGTAGCGTTAGATTACATGAAGAGACCATCATTTCAGGAACCATCTATGTCCCCATCATCAGGGTTTTGATGTCACATCAAAACCCTGTGTAACGTCGTAGCGCAGCTGATAGCCCAAGAAAATTTTATTGAGTTTAGTCATTGCAAAAGCTTGAAATCATGTAAGTATTCATGATGCTTGCCGCCATGGTGGCAGATTTTGTCCAAATTTTCTGCATTCATTTTGCAGTCTACCTAGTAGCAGCTTTTTCCATGTCAAGGCAAAAATTTAATGAGAAAGCAAAATGATTCTCCTAGTTTCCATAATATTCAGAAAGGTTAAACAGCTTTTGACTCTTTTAAAATTGTAATTTTCTTTGTTCCTATTCAAGTTATTCAAATAATGTTTCTTCTTGACATTGGATTTCAATAGAGTCATCATCCACTGACATCTGTCTATGAAGAAATAAACTATAAATTTTCAATTTATCATTGTGCAAAATGAAATTTTCTGTTGCACTGCAATGAAGTGCCTCCTTAAACTGAAACAGTGTGTCTATATCACTGTTAGAAACGTATGATACAACAGGGGAGCAGTGTGAACATTTTGAAAAAAATTATCTCCTGCAATTCAGTGGTTCCCTGACTTCGGTATTCCGTAAAACTCTTCTTTCAGATGTCACAATGCAAACCTCTGTCCGAAAAGTCGTCCATTTCTCTGCCTTTAGACTGTTAAAAGTTTACAATGTTTTGTAGGTTATTCTTTTTGCAAAAAAAGATATGAAGTTAATGAACTGTATGCTCGTCATATATTCTTACGGAACCTACCCAGATCTGATCCGATCCAAACATTGTAGTTGAGTCATTGGCATTCTTGCTTCATATTTTGGAGGTCGCAGGTTTGATTATTTGCCAAAAGGCCAACTTTCTTGACTGAGCTTCTATGGATTTTCTCAGTGCCACCGTGAGAATGCTTTGATATGTCTTACAGTAGGCCACAATTGCTTCCTTCCACATCGTTCCCAGTACATCATCTTCAATCTTCCTCCCATTTCATACCATACAGCAGTGGTCCCCAACCTTTTTGTGCCTACGGGCACATTTGAGAGTTTATGAGATCGTGGCGGGCACCAACCAATTAACAAAGCCAAATTTTCTTTTCTCTGGACAGATAAGATATGGACACCAAATAATACACAAAACAACATGACGTTTAATGATACAAGAAACCATGCAATCAAAAATACGTAGTTTTATAAGTAAAATTATTATTACTCAAGTGGGAAATTAGTGTGATGTTTGGCGCTGCATTTCATCGGCCAGTTTTTCAAATTTGAGAGTGTAGGATGATGGTGCTGCTCGCAAGCAATTGTCAAGACGGACGTCAGTAAGTCGAGATCTGCGCTTTGATTTTATAATGTTCATGGTTGAACGGCCTTCATTATTCAGTATAACATCTTTCCGTATCAACGCGGGCACCCAAAAAAAGCCTTGACGGGCGCCGCGTTGAGGACCACTGCTATACAGCATGTAGACTTCTGTCCAAACCTATATAGGAGCATTACTCATGTTGATGGTTTTTGTTTTCTTATTAAAACAATACTGACACATAAAATTAAATATAACAATAAACTTTTCCCGGTCAACCATTTGAAACATTCTGCATACATTAAACATGTGTACAAATCACAATTTCGGAAACACTGCTGTAAGTATAAATTTTGGAATTGCTGTTTGAGTGAACAAATTTAGAAGATCCTCATTCAACCTTATTACAGGAGAGTGAAGTCAAGAAACTTTGTCTCTTTCTCTGTGGTGCTCTGCGTAATGAGTACCTTCTGGAATATTCTGTTCCACCAGCACTACTTTGTCTCACCACAAACATGAGCACAATTTGTGCGACTCACAGCAGCATTTTGACAATATATTATAAGCTAGGATCTAGGACCTGTGAATGAATGCCTACCTGAAATTAATAATAGTTACTTAGAGGATGTTTTGAGTTGATTAAAATAACTTTTATGCTGAGCACCCATCAACATAAAGTTAGATTTTAATTTAGGTATCGGCACCATTTGCTTATCACTGTATGGACAAATGGAAATGTTTATTATGTACTGTGCTTACTTTCTGAGTGGCATGTGATGTTAAGGATGGCTGTCGCGCATATCAAAGAGCAGTCGCCACCAGCGCAGAAAAGGAATATTAATGTCAATTGATTTTGATAATGTGGTATGGTATGTGTTTGTATTGATGTTGGGATCTCCCAATTCCTATTTATTGATGCGTAAATTTTGTACATAATCTTCATCACGTACCATTAAACTGCACATTGTATAAATGCAACCTTGAGCCTTCAAATTGCAAAAATAGGAATGGGTTCTGCGGCCTGTTTTGTGCAGACAAGGCTTTACTCAGATACGCTTGGCAGCTGGGAGATACGTGTATCGTGTACGTGTTTGTAAGTATGAACAAGAATCTGATCTTGCAGACTTATTGTAAGGATGGTATTCCACACATGCAAACATACTGTAGTTCTTTGTAAAAAAAAATTATCCTTTTTTGCATCTTGTACTTCATCTCCTGGCTATCTATAGTGAAATATTTTGAAGATTTCTGTCTTCTGGGTTGTTGCGCTGTGTAGTCTGGTTGATGTTAACCAACGTTTCAGAGGTCATACTGCCTGCATCATCAGGGAGATGAATATTCCCTGATGACGGAGGCAGTATGACCTCCGAAACGTTGGTAAACATCGACCAGACTACACAGCGCAACAACCCAGAAGACAGAAATCTTCATACTCACCACTGTGAAAACCTCAAATCTTATGTGAAATATTTTGTTTGTGTGAGCATGGTTGTCTATTGTGTGTCGGCTTGTGCAGAATATTTGTATATAAAGTAATGACACTCCAGTTTGTATAGTTTCAGTTTGAATCTCTTTGATCCTCTGTTAGGTACGAGTCATTATACTTCTGTCAGTAAATGGATTATTCTTTTCACCAACACATCAAGACCACCTCCGGGGTCCATCTAGCTACCTGTCCGATTGATAACGGGGCCTCTTTCCTGAGGAAGTACGGCGGTCGGAACAAGAAGCTCAACTTTACCTCTGTGACCTCCATTCACATATGATGTTTTCCAGAGATACACTTTTAATGCACTTCTAACTTAATCTTGTAAAAAGTGAAGCTATGTAAAACATTAAAAAATTTGGTTTATATTTCTGGAAAAAAAAACATTCAGCATTCCTGTTACCACGATCAGGCAATTAATGTTTAACCTGAGAACCAAATTAAACCAATAAATACACTGCGGACAAAGTTCTTCATTAATGAATATTGCAGGATGTGGCACACAAAGTTACTATGGTGCTTGTTATGACTGCCAAATTTAGAACATCCTTTACAACTGTTTGCTGATGTAAAGTAGAAGGTTAACCACTTGTGTCATCTGAGATGGACTCATGGCCAAGCAGCCCTAATTCTTGGTCATGTAAATGCCACCTTTTTGATCACGGTGCAGGAAGTTAAAAGAATCCTCACTTCACTACAACCTCATTGTGCACCATTTATTTATTAATAGTTCATTTAACAATGTTATCTGTAGATCAGACTATAGAGTGTTGAATGGTAAGATCAATGAATAATGAATCATAAAGTGTATGGATGGAGGTAATCATTACATTATATAAGGTACTATCCAAGCATTTGATAGGAGATACTGAGAAAAGCTACAGAAAATCTCAGTATAACCAGTCTATGAGTTGAGATTTAATCCCAGGAACTCTCAAATATGAAATGGGAATTGTAATCAGTTAGTCACGATGTTTAAAGGAGATCACTACCAAACAGGAATTTTACCTCCTGTGATGTTCTGTTCGAATTTACTATTGTTCCAGTTTTGTTCAAAGTATTGAAAACTTGAACAATGCACATCTTAAAAGGTCAAACGAAATACTGTTATAAAGATAAATTCGTTACTGAAATCCGTGGTACCATGAACTGCATTATGCCACACTTAAAACTATGAAGAGAGGACTTGAGACAGAGATTAAAGCTACATTTACGTCTAGATGAAAAATAGTATGCTAGCAGGACTAACAACTCCTCGCCATAAAAAAGTAAACAAGTTACGAAATGTTGCATCGGCCTTGGGGACTTCAGAAGATTGTTGTTTCAGAGTGCAGACCCACGTACTAAAGGAATAAGAAACACGAATAAATCCTGGAGTATGGATGCAACACATTCTCATTTTGTTGGCCTGATGACTATCAGACTCAAATGGTCAAAGACTTACCATAGTGCATTCTGGCTGTGAACACAAGTTACAGGTGCATATCTATGCCTTAAATTTCGTCATAGGCAATTACCATTGTGCAATACAGAAAGTGGATAATCATAATCTGATTATCATTTTTCCAAAAAAACAAGTTGTGGTGACAGATATGCCCCATTTTACAAAGTGAAATTTAATCACACCCAACATTAAAAATGAAGAAATGTTCAGGATTCAGCACGTTTTTTGTAAATAACCTCAAAGAAAAACGAAACAATGGACACACTGTGTCCCAGTAGCAGCAAATAGAATGCAATCGAGAGGTGAGAAACTGTAAATACGAAGAAATTGTCCACGGCATTACTGACAGTAGAAGAAACCTTTTTCTTGACTGCCTTGGTTGCCAGACCTGCCTCAACACTTGAAACGAGAGCTTTATTGAATGCACGAAGAAAGATGCTTCCTTTCGAGAAGTAGGCGACAATTTTTACAGGATAAGCCTCCAGGTCGTTCATAGTACATACGTAGTTACTGTTGTTTACAGTATTAAGATAATTCTCTATAGAATATGATTCTGCTAGCGTAGCGTAACCCCTAGTATCGATTATGCGTTGTACGCAAAAAGAAGGTGGATCACAGTGCTCTTTTCGACTCATGAGTTCTTTATGAATTTCATAGTTCGAGTTTTGGTAATACACATCAAACTCGGGTCTAAATCCAAATTTCAAACCTGAATCGATAAGTTCTTCTAAAGTTCTGATCTGTTTATCATAACCGGGATCGACAAGGTAACTGGTGAAGAAAGTCTGGAAAACAGCGTTGATAGCGAAGCAGTAACACATCCAGGAGAAAATTATCAATCTCAGCGGGCATGTACGTGGCATCTCTGTGACACACACCCCCATAGCTATGGCCCAGACGTTGTACAGATCGTTGGAGATGCTGGTGTAAGTGGAGGTTTCCAGAGATCGATTTGCCAAACACCAAATTATGACAGAGACAGCAAAAATTACCACGACCACGACCGCCCATACAGACGCAGAGAATATCCGAGAAATACTATAAAGACGAGGCAAGGGTCGGGCACATGGAACGTACCAAGTGTATTTTGTTTCGTGGTACGAAAATGAAGGATCTAAAATATCAGCGATGTCTTTAATGAGCGGGATTCCTCCAACAGTTATTTCGGACGAACCAAGTAGCACTTCGCTAATCGACGAACGGATTCGATCGTAGAGAGACATGTCATTTGGTCGACCAGAAATGTAATTGACTGTTATGTTTAATCTTTTAGCAGTTTCGGATATGTACGTCTTTTCTGCGATTTTCGAATGCGGTATGGATATGTCAATACGACATCCGTGGAAATGTCTCGGATATTTGTCTGGAAACAGTGTTCCATTGTTACCGAGCTTTGTGTCGCTTTGCGTGTCCCATTTGCTTAGAAGAACAGCATCTGTGATGATTTCGCAGCTTTTATCAGACTGGTAGGGAAACGAAGTGTACAAATGAAGCACAGAGTTTTCGTAAACCGCCACCAGAACATTTAGGGCCTTGGTGTTATCCCAGAGTTCCCTCAGGAGATTCAGAGCCAGCAGATGAGGTATAGCCTCGCACTTGGTCACCACCACAAGAAAGCGAGCTTCATCCCCCCACAAAACACTATCTGTTATCTTGTCTACCTGTTTTTCTATGTCTTCCGGTCCTCCAGTTAAAATTACGTAACTTCCGATCTTGTCGTGGTGTTTCTCGTAGGGCGCTAGGGTCACACTATCCGTGCGAGACACGCGTAGAGGCCACAATTCGATGTTCTGAAGATTTTCCATTACGATGTCCAACAGCCCGTCACCGCTTCCTGAACTAGACACTAGCAAAGTCCGATCAAGGTCGAAATGACGACGCGCAATAGTTGTGATACACAACGCCAGATGTCTCTGATGTGTTCTCTCTCTCGATAAAGTTTCGACTAGCGCAAACACGGCAAGAGTGAACACCGTCTTCATGTTACCTACGGCAATGAAATGTATAATAAATAACATGATGCCCTCCGTTCGTCCATTGACTGTTCATTCGGTATATCACTATATATAACCTAAAAAGAAGGATGCCAAACAACAAAAGCTGCACATCATTACAAAACTGTCAGAGTGTGAACATTCGTATATTAGCGCGTCTACTAGAAATTCGCTGTTGTTGACAACTCCTTCTACCTAATATTTCTAAAAAGTAAGGAAAGTCCTCTACAACAATTTTGCTAAGAAGAATTTGAATTTTGATTAGGAAAATAATATATTATGCTAACGTTGCAGAAATTAGATCGCGTCTCACTGAAAATAAAAGAGAAATCGGGGATCCCCCTGAGGTGGAAGCACTGTTACCAACTCATCAGCAATTTCAGGTTTACATGCAAAATCAATTATACTTGAGATTATCTGATAGCTTTTCATGTTGATACTGAATAATTGTAAAAGCCTAATATCTATCGTGATAATGGCTAAATTTTCAAATTAGAGAAAGTTTTCGGTAAGTCAAATTCCATTGTTTTATTTAATTTTTTTTCTACACGTTTGAAAAATGCTGATTATGGCCTGTGTAGATAACGGTATATCCTAATTTGGCGTAAATATTACACTGTTATTTCTAAATTTCCACTTGCAGCAGTGGCGTTGCGTAAAACTTGCACGTGACAGAAAAGACAAAAATGCTTCAATTACACAGTGTTCAAAAAAGATGTATACACATTATGACACAGAATTGTTCCCGCCGTTCGCCAGATTTAACCTCACCTGACTTTTTCTCGTGGGGTTACTTGAAGGACGCTGTGTACAGAACAAAGCCAAACAAGAGCTCCGGTAGAAAACTAAGGGTCAATGCTTTAATTAAAATACATTTATTTCATTTATTTAATGTGTGTATAGCCGCGCGGTCTGAGGCGTCATGCTTCGGACCGGCGATACTGAATGTTCGCTGGTTCGAGTCTCGGGGGAAAAGAAATTTTCTCGTGAGCTTTCGACCAGTGTATGGGACCGGTGCCAACCCAGCATCGTGAGGAAATTGGGGAGCTATAATGAGTAGCGTAATCCGGTCAGGAAAACTAGCAATGGCTGGGGGTTCGTCGTGCTGACCACACGTCACCCTATATCTGGTTGGATGATCGTGAACGTGAGGCCAGCAGCCAGCTAGCCGGCTTTGGCTCTCAGAGGGCTCTTACGCCACGGATTATTATTATTATTATTATTATAGAATTTACATCTTTTTTGGGACACTCTGTATGAGACGCTTAGAATAACTGATATTTGTCAAACATAAACACGACACTTACCAAAACCTTTTATTGATGTAACAGTCATTGAAGTGTATATAACACTACGGAGCTTTTGTTGTTGCGTTTATGGTAAATATAAAATAAATTGCTAAAATTGTAAAAGATATGACATGTATCGTCTTCATCGTAACTGTTCAAATATTTCTAATGAAATTTATACAAGTAGATTGTAAATGTGACTAGGATGTAGCGTGTACCTGAGGTTGTAGTTGTAATGACTCGAAAACCTTAATTTCTTACGTCATAAGCTGCCAATTTCCCTTTGCGCCTTGTTTAGCTGTGCACTGCAACCCACGTCTCTCCGTCTGACTCTCTAACGACTCTGCTCACTGAATGAACAAATGACTGTCACGCGTATTTCAAAAGAGACATTTGTACTTTGGGTTAAAGTGGATGGTCCATTTGTGTGTATTTCCTAATGGGTATTGAAGTACTTTATAATTTGATAATCTACAGCAAAGGGAATGTATACGTGGTGTCGTTTGATCGATAAAGAATATTTATTTCTGAGAAAACTGTAAAGAAACATCAGCGAGGAATCGATATAGACGAAACCAATACTGACAATAAAACTGGAATGAATCTAATTTTTCCGGAAAAATATCTGAATAACGGAAGCATTTTTTCATTTTGTAAATTCTCAGTTTACAAAATAATGAAATGTCTCCTTGGCTACATTTTAAGCCTCGAGGACCTTCAGGTTCTTAATAAAAGAAGTAATGATATTCATTCATGTGAATCATGAACAATTATAGTCTGAGGAGAGTAACCAAGCGACTTGGATGTAAGTTGTGAGCTGTAAGATAGTCTTGCATTCTAGAAACACAATTGATCATCGCAGTTCACGTATCTTAGAGGAAATAAACTTGCAGTGGCCAATTTGAATATGGGAAAACAATTTAAATCAGAACTGGAACCAAGGAAATAATTAATGCAGATGTTAGAAAGTGTAATAAATCCATTCAGGAACGTTGGTTTCTTTGCGACTCACTGGCGAAATGCGTTAATATCTCCAGAGTCCAGTCGCGTTCTTCTTGTCTGTCACTCGGTGTGTTGACCTCCTCCAGTTTCCTCGGAACACAGCACCAAGTAAATATGTCGTTAAATGCAATTACAGTTAAACTCTTGTAAATAGCCACGGTGGTCTAGCGGTTAGAACGCTGGCATCGTAATCCTGGGGTCTCGGGTTCGATTCCCGGCGGTGCCCGAATTTATAACTTGTGTTGGGCAAGGCCGTGGTCTAGGCAACACGGAGTTTTCCTCCGTGGCATCCCAACAATTACTCCATTCACACACTGAAGAAGGCGATGGCAAACCACTTCTGGATCATCTGCCAAGAACGTATATGAACAGGTCCCAGTCCGAGAAAAGGATCTAAGGATCCTGTTCATATGGACCTGTCGTCAGACAGAACACTAAATAATAATAAATAAATTGACGGTAACCTTTCTTTTAACACGTGGTTCTGTTGATTTCGGATGCCTTCTAAGACGGACAGTAATTGCAATCATTTTACGTATTTC